TTTGATTTGAAACCTTTACTTGAATTAGCCGTGATAATAAACTTGTAAAAGCCTTAAGATTACTACGTACATTAAAAGAAATAACACTCTGACACCCCGTCTAACAGTTGTAGTTCGCAAGAATTACACGTTAACACTACTATTATTTTTAATCCATATTATTAAATCTTGGTATAATAAATCCTTCTTGTTTGGTTTTTTAGTAATTTGAAAGAAGGTAAAGTTAGTTGAATAAGAGACGAGTATTTTAAATATATTACTTTCTCTTTGTAAAGTTAATTGATAGTTTTCTGAAATTTGTAATTCAAATAATTGAATATTGACATTAACAAATTCTTCTTTTATTGAATTTTCTATTTTTACTTTTAGTAAAAAATATGATAATCTTTATTAATAAAAAACTTCTAGCAAGAGCTGCCTATTAGATAGTAAACGAAAAAATCATATACTGAAGGATTTTTAATAACAGGATGTATTTGCTATTTAAGTATTTTTTTTCTATTACTTAGCGTTAGTATAACTATTACGCTTATAGAAAGCATTTATTTAATAAAAAAAAGAAAAGATTAAACTATTATTGTTAGCAATTGTAAAAATCATTAAAAAAAGATTTAGATTACTTATATCATTTATCTTACCCAATCATAATTAAAGAGTGAGATAATTTTTTCTCCAAATCGCTAGATAGAAAAAATTTATATTTTTTGATAAATTTTTTCTCCTGATTTTCAGGTAGGATAAAAATTTATATTTTTTAATAAATTTTTTTCCTAGCTAGCCTAATCAAATTTCATTATTTATTTTTATGAGAAACTTACTACTTTATTTATTTAGCCTAACAGTAGAGCGTAAAATAGGATATCAAGTTTTTCAGATAAGTATCCGGTTACATAAAAATTTACCAAATTTTTTTAAAATCAAACGGATAAATATCCGGTTTCAAATAAATTTATCGGATCATCATAAAATTATAGATAAAATTGAAATTATCATTATGATTTACGAATCAAACAAGTTTATTAAAATTTAAATAAATATTATTAAACTTGTAAGATTTTATCATATTTTAATAAAATAATTTATTTATTGAGTAAATACCTTTCATTAACATTATTAGGTTCGGAAGATTTAGAATAATATTATAAAATCGACATTTTTTAAAAATATTGAAAAAAAGTTTTTTTTAATAAATTGATAATCAATTTTATTGTCAAAATTAATTGGTAACAATTTTCATTCAAAAAAATATCTGATTCTGAAAAAATTTACCAGATATTTTTAAAAATAACCAGAGATCTCCATTTTTTACAATACTATTATATGCTCTGCCTAACAGTAATTTTGTAACAATTTTTGTAATAATAATAATAGGAAAATCTGATTAAAATAGAGCTTCTTTGCTATAATGAAATTATTTAAATATCAATTAAAAAAGTAACATCTCAACAATTCTTAACTTTTTTTATTCTTTTTGAAGTGTGTAGGGGTGTGGAGTGTGTAATCTTTTTCTTTTCCCATTTTAATCTTCTCTAAATTTAAAGAAGATTAAAAAGGAAAAAGGAAAAGATTACACACCCCAAACCCCTACTCTTACTAAAATAGATTTGAACTTTATATGTTTATTTGATTAAATAAAAGAACAACAATGTGACAATATGCTTAAAATATAATTTTTTTTCCATAGTGAGAATGCAAAATTAATTAAATATCAATTATCATAAAATATTCTTAAAAGCTTTCACTTTTCTTTTGTTGAAATGGAGGAACATGATGATGAAAAAATGTTAAGCAATGAAGAATTCAATTTAAACCAATTTGGTGATAATGAAAATGAGTAGAAAATTGACTTTAATGAGGAAATTGGTTTAGATAAGTTAGTCAGCCAGGTTTTAGAAATTACAAGCATCTCAATGGCTTTATCAAGAAGTAGTAGTGTATAGATTTATCTTAACAAAAATATAGTTTGTGCGTTGTGTTATAATGTTTGTAAAAAATGCTTTAAAAAATATCAATTATCTACAAATGTGATATCCTTATGAAAATATCTCAAAATACATCAATTAAAAATATCTATAAGAGCAAAAAAAAGTGAGAAAAAACATAAAGTCCCTTTAATAAATGAGAATAAGAAAAACATAATAAATATCTTGTTAATTAGTTAATATGAGATCTTTAGCCTTTTACCATAATCAATGATCCTTCTTTTAGGGTATTTGTTAATTTATTATGATTTTAAAACTTCAACTCACCTTTATGATTTATTTTGTGTCTTTTGTAGTTTAAAAAAGTCAAGTATCTCAAGCTAATTTTAGATGTAAAGACATATTGAAATTCAACATACTATATGTTAAAATGCTTTAAAGAACTTGAACTAGTATTAGTGCTACTTGCAGCTAATGATCATTTGATAAATACTCTTTATTCTGATAATAATGATTGGATTTCAATTGAGGTAAATTAATAAAATAAATTAAGCATTTATTAGATCTTTTCTTTAATATTATTATTTTCTAATAGGATAGCTTATTACTTCTTGAATCTTTAGAAAAGGCTACTTAGTATTTATTTGCATCATTCTATCCAACAATGGGTAATACTCAGCTTGTTTTTGCAAGAATTCAAATGTATCTAGAAAAATATGCAAAAGATAATAGTTTTACACAATATATAATGGCAGCTTTAATCTCTCATAAAATCGAAGAATACTGAATGATTATGGATAGTGCTTCAACTACTTCTGCAATTTTAGACCTTCGAAGCAAACTCTCAGTCTTTTCAGATAAATCAAAATCAAGTGCTCATGCACTTATTGAATCTATTTATGAATACTATAATGAATGGTCCTTCTTACCTATGAATTCAGCTTCACCTATTTATAATAGAAGAAATTGACAATATTTTGCAGAACTAGAAATAGAAACAGAGCTAAATCATTATCTTGAACAACTAATTGATGAAGAGACTAAGCCTCTCTTGTGGTGGCAAGCTCATTCAAATGAGTTTTCAGTTTTATGTAATATGGCTTGAGACCATCTAACGATACAAGCAACAAGCATTGCATCAGAGTAAGCATTTTTGATTTCTAGAAATGTGATTACAAAGACTCAGAATCGTTTATTACTAGAGACAGCAAGGGCGTATTTATACGCAAAGAGTTGGATGGATAATGATTTAGTAAAATGATTTTGTTTTAAAATTTTTTTCTGTATGTTGTTAATAATAATATCAGAATGATTAAACAATTATAATAAAAAATCTGTTCATCAGAATTTTATTTTACATATTTTATAATGATTTATTACATAATTTATTTATTTTAAATAATTTGACTAATATATTATTTTATATTATTAATCCTTAACGATAAATCATGTGAAATTTATACAAATTTGCTCGCATTTATTAATAAATTTTGAGTTTAAAGGGATAATAATTATAATATCTGAACCAGTTTCAGTCAGTTCGGTTCCAAACGCCACTCTGAATCGGTTATTGGAACCGGTTCTATCAGTTCGGCTCACTCCGGTTCGCTTCAGCTTGCAGAACTGAAGCTGAACCGATAGAGTCGTTCCCATCTCTACCTATAATTATAATATAATATTATTTGTTAGTTAATTATTCCTTTTTCGCAGCACTCACCCATATTTTCACGGATATAGTACACACTTAGAAGAAAATATTCTTTTTTTAAAAGTAATAGCTAAAACTATATTTTCAAATCTTAATGATATTAAAGTTTGTGATGCTATTATAAATTTATATCAATGTTATAGATTAAATTTGTATCATTTTATCAGTATCTTAATAAAAAAAAATGTATAATGAGCATATAAAAAAAAATTTTTTTTGGCCTACACTTATAATAAATAATTTTAAAGCACGTGAGCGCTAAACTTTTGTCGGGTAGTTACTGAAACTTCGAAACACATCAAAATGGAGGCGTTACCTCTTCACAAGGTGGCTTTAAATTTTAATGTCAAGGTACAGAGAACAATTCGAGACCGCGGTTTGAACGCACTACCAAATTGAAGGTCAACCCTTCACCCCAATATTTGTAGTTGAGGTTGATTTTATTAAAAGTGTCTCAGAATTCCAAGTATTTGATGATAGATTTAGAAATAAATTATTTGCACCGGAAACATCATGTGGAGCTAGGATTTCTGGAGGGAAATATCCATTCGTGGAGGTGGTACGAAAATAAAACTGTACGTCATGAACATGATGGAGAAATATGGATACCAGGGTTAGCGGTCGGGAGATTCTTCCAGGCTTCGTCTTGGAAGTTGATATGATTGAAGAGGCTTTTTCGCGAGTTTGTTGTGACGATTTATCATGATTTTATTTTATATCTTTATTTCATGAAATGATTACAGCAAGATTCAGGTTCATCAGATGATGATGTTATTGATATTCCTTGTAACGGACCTGGATGTACAGCAACTTTCACTAGTCACCACGCTTTCTTGAAAGAAACATGACGTATCTAATCAACATATTAATCAATAGATTATATGGGTTGAAAATCAGGTTTTGATCATATGCTTTATATAGTTCCGCAGCATGATTTTCGTACGTACTAACCCATATTGTGTCTAAAAAAGCATTTTTTTCTTTTGTGCTGTAATTTTTGTTATAAGGCTTATTTTGTAGAAATTCACTTCATCTAGTTATTATTATTAATTGCACATTTTTTATTTTTCTGAAATATGATTTATAATGCATATATATTTCGAATTTTCCTTCTTTGTATGATTCAATTTATAAAAATATAAAAAAATTTCAAGTTTGCTCGATAATTAGGACGTTTTTTTTAATCTTTGGTGAATTAATTTTTTGATGATAATACAGTAATACAGAAAGGCTCCAAAGATCATTACTGACGTAAGTACACGCGCGCGTTGGGTTAAAACTATGTCCAAAGCGTCAGTAAAAAAAATCGACACTGAAATTCAGCTATGAACGGTGAAGGACTATCGTAAAAAAAGGTGATTTGAAATTTCGTAGCTCTAAATTAAGAAATGCCGATCGGTTTTCCCTTAATCTATTTCCTTGGTCAATAGCAAAAGAAGAGCAAAGAAAGTAAAGGAACATCTGTCATTATTTATAATGCTGATTCGATATCATGATAAATGTCTTCTAAATTAAGAAATCTTCAATTGATACATATTTCACTATATTAACTCCCCAATGTCAATTAAATTAATTTTCGTTAACCTTCTCGCTTACATAAAGAAATTATTATTGAAAATTGTAAGTTTAATAGAATTAAAAGATAAAAGAATTTCTTTTGTCGGGTAAGTTGAATTAAAAATCAGATAAAGTTATTTAAAAATTATACTTAAAGTCCTAAAAATATTTACTATCATGCTTTATTCTTCTCCATAATAGATTTTAAAATCTTTGTAAATTGTGCATCACAGGTATTAAACCACTTAACTTCCTCTTCAGAAGCAAAAGGTAAAATTACCTTAATTAAATCCTGAGATCTTAAAGATAAATGATTAACATTTGTTTCTATAGCCGCCGAATTTTGAGGGGGATATAAACTTGTCCCAAGTTCATCCGCAGCATCAGCAATCAATTTGCCCAAATCCATATATTGATCAAGTGTCTGATTGATTTTTGATAGACCATTCTTACTTGATGATATATCCAGAGGTTCTATACACCTTTTTAATACTTTGGTGAAAAGTATTTTCACCAAATTTAATAATTTTAAAGATAATTCAACAATTTCCTTTTCTTTTGCTGTCAACGTTGAATTATTGGATCCTTCAAATATTTCATCCCAACCATCATCCTCAAAGCCTTGATTTTCATCGTTGTCTATCAAATGTTTAACTTCCAAGTTGGCATCTTTTAATAATTCCAGCATCTCTTTCCATTGAATTGTAACAGCTTGTTTATTATTTTTTGGTAAATTTTCAAATCGATCACATGCTTCCCATATAATTCCAGTCGAAATAAGGTATCCTTTTGATATTATTGTATCTGGATTTGGATCTACTGGTTCATCTAAAAAAGAATTCACTAGTGCTGTTGAATCAAAAAGGATTTCTTTTGTCGTTGATCTTATTTTTTTAATTAACGTTTTTCCTGCCGATATTGGTATCGATTCAACAAATCCACATATACGAAATAATGTATCTCCCATTGCTTTAATCGTTGGTACGGCCGATATCGGTGTGCATGTAGGTTTACACGCTATGGTCACCTTTTATTAAATAAATACTTAATATATATATAAATATTTAAAAATAAATGCAACTGAAGATTATTACCTTTGTCGCATTATCTGCAAGAATCATTCCTAATTTACCTAAAAATGAAATGAAACAAATCAACGTATAAAATGGTTAGAGAATAATAATAAACTTTTTTATTTATTTTTATCGCATAAACATGAGACAAATACCAAGATCATTTACAATAACTTCAACATCAACATTTTCGGAACTTTGTACCGTTGGAACATTATTAATGTCTTTTAAATATCCGAGTATCATATCAACCAATGCGCGTAATTTTATTTGAACATCTGTTGTTTGTTGATAAAATATGTAAATAACATCAAAAAGAAAGTTGGCAAGAAATAATTATCACGTACCAGTAGTAGTTGGGGTATTCATAATTAATAAATATCAGTATCAAATTTAATCTATATATATGCACAAATATAAATAGTTGAACCTATAAAAAATTTAACTTGAACCAATTTGCAGTTTATACAATGATTAAATTAAAAACAATAAAAATTTATAGATCAATAAATATATTTTCCGTTAATTTTTTTTTTTTTTTTTTTTTAGCGATTATCACGATTATCTGTGTAGTATCAATCGGTATAAATACCGCTTCTGACAGCTATTTCACATGATATTACGAATTATGCCAAAATTCGGAACATCGATAAGCGAATTGTCAAAACTGATATGGAGATAAAAAAGGGGATTAATTTGGAATAAATTTGGCGGATTAGCCAGATTACAGTAACCTGGATTTGTTACTTGACGATCTATACCGAATATTTAAGGATGACTTTTTTATTTTTCGCCATAAAGTTATTCGTTTGTAAAATATTTCTCCCACCCACCTTTCATATTACAAAAGAAAAAAAAAAAAATTTGTAATCCAAAAAAATTTTTTTTTTTTTTTTGAACCTTGAATTTTCAAGGTAATCTTTTTTTTCTGGATATCTATATATTTTTTTTTGATTATTATTTTATTATGCCAATATACTATAATATTATTAAATTCCCTTTGATAAATACTCGGCCAAAATAGTCATTTCCGAAATGGGATTTTATTATTCAAAAATGAACATCTATACTCTTTTTATTTTTAAAGAAAGAAATAAATAAACTAATCAAATTTTTCATCATTGTATTATTCGTTCTAGTTTTCATATTGTCTAAATTTTAACACAAATAATATATATATATATGACATCACACATAAGTCTAGATAGGGATAACGGAGTTATGTTTACTCGTGAGGAAACTATTATCCTCAATGTGGGGGGAATAAAGGTTTGATAAAAGATTTATATCATTAAAATGATTTATTGCATTTGGATCAATTTGATCTAAAAAAAAAAAGGAACTTTAACGAAATCAATAATTAAATTACATAGTATGAGACCTATCCCTCAACGTTGACTGCATTTCCTGATACTTTGCTTGGGACGATGTTTCAAGAACGAAATAGAGAAATGCTACATCCAAAGAACGGTAATGAATTTTTTATTGATCGTAATGGATATGCATTTCGATATATTCTTGAATTTTACCGAAATGGAAAGATTTTATGGAGCGACCGAGCGGATAAAAATCTCGTAGCAGTAACTCGTGAAGAACTTGATCAAGAAATAGATTATTTTCAAATTCCAATTAAGGATATTGCTGTTACTTCAGGGGAATTGGCAGTAGCTTCCAAAGTTGATGCATTTGTAGCTGCTCTTAAAGAAGTAATTCATATATCAATAGATCAACTTCAAACTGAAATTCATATGGCTATAACTGACTTTGGAACCATTGAGGAATTTGATTGGTATCCAGCACAAGGACAAAGTGAAATAATAGCAGATATTATGAAACCATTTAATATGGTTGGCTTTGTTATATTACAACACTTTGGGGATGCCATAGAGAGGCATATTAAATCAGAAATTCCTGAATTCTCATGGAGATGTGAATTTTATAACTGTAAACCAAGGAGAGGATATGGCGCATTAATGTCCCCGTATCAATCCCATAATCATAGTTTCTTGAATAATTCTTTCAATAATAACGGATTTAATGGTATAGGTAGAATGGTACAACCAAATATGATGACTTTTCAACATATAATAAATGCGAATAATAATACATCCACTGTTTCATCATGGCCCGTACTTGGCAGTGGATTCAATCAAAATAACAATAATCATCAGCAAACGAATTTAAATAATGTTGCAGCGGATGTGAATGGCGTCACGAGATTATTTGGTAATAACGTTAACGGATTTAATTCTAATAGTGTAAGCCAAGCTGGTAGAGGTCAAGGAATTAATTTTGGTCCAAATCAATTAGGTGGAGGTCAAGCAAGCAATTTTAGCTCAAATCAATTAGGTGGAGGTCAAGCAAATAATTTCGGTGCTACTCGGACACCAATTGTGTTTGGAGCTAATCAAGCGGATGGAAATGTACAACCATTCGGAGGGAATCCAAATGGAAATGGTCCAAATTTCAATGGAAATCAACCCGCGGTTGATGGACAGCAATTTGGTGTAAATACAACAGGAGTGAATGGACAAGCACCTGGACCACCACCTCCATTCGGTGGGAATCAAGCAACAGGTAATGGGCCGACCGTGAATGGGCCTTCACTTGGACATCCATTAATAGGAGGTGGAAATCAAACAACAGGTAACGGAACTCCATTTGGCGTCAATCAATTAACTGGAAATGGTCCTTCGCTTACTTCACCATTTGGTGATGGTGGAAATCATTCAACAGGTAATGGACCATTCGTAGGTGGATCGAACAATCATTTCGGAAATATGTCACAATTTGGAACGACATTCAACGGAAATCAGACAAACAATAATGGGAACGTACATTTTAGTGGTAATCAACCCGGTTTTGGTTTTGGTACCCCATTTATTAATCAGACACAAGGATATGGTCCACATACAATAACTGGATTTGCAGGAGGTTCATCCAATTTTTTTAATGGAGTTCCTTTAGGAGTAACATTTCGGACAAACAATAATTCTGTTACATCTGCTCAACCATCATCTATGCAAGGTTTTTCTTACCCGACAACTCATTCCAGTCTCTTTGGAAATCAACATACGGTATCATATAATAACGGCGGTCAAACTTATGTACCACTTCATGCAGGACATCATGCCTTTGCTCCAATGTCAACTCACGATAATGATACGCCCTCAATGTTTCTTCGTCGAGCAGAAGGAAGGGCTCTAAAATTGTTAATCAGGTTAGATTATGATTATTCGGTAGCAAACATATTATCAAATACTTGTCTTGCTAAATGATTCAAGCACATGTTATATATTATTAACCGACGGTAAGTTAAGATACATTTAGATTTTATCTTTAATTTTTTTGCATAATTAAACGAAGAAAAAAAATATTTTTTTTTATATTAATTCACAAACTTTCAAGATGTTATTTATTATTATAGCTTTTTTAATATTTTTTTTTTTTTTTTTTTTTTTTTGTAATCCCTAATATCACACTCCCAACTCAGAAAATAAGATTTATAATCTCATTTTTTTTTTTTATTAAGGAGAGATTTTTAATTATATGCAAATTATGTATTATGATTACAATAAAGTAGTAGCAAGTATAATATGGACAGAAAGTTATTTATTAATATTAGTTCGTTTTAAAATATTAGTTTTAATAATATTTATTAGTTCTAATATAAGGGAAGAATAATTAAGATTTGTTGTTTTATAAAAAATTGTACATACTATTAAAAGAAATTTTAAGTTGGAAAATGAAAATTAGTTAGGACAAATAATTGACCTTTTTTTATTATTATTATTTTTTTAATGATTCAAATCCATATGGAAGTTGATTAAATTTTTTAGGATTAATAGCTAAAACTTTGTAAATCCTTCCCATGGCTAAAGGGTCAACTAATCTCCTATAAGAATTAAATAACGTTTTGTGTTGTTCAATTGAAGTAGTTTGATTAAGTAACATTGATAATCTAGTTGTTATTCCCATTGAATGTAAGAATTTTGACTGTGTTACTGGTCCAAATGTATTAACTATAAATTGGTAATATGGAATTATCAATTAAATAACATTAAATAATAATAAATGTTTATGATGTATTACCTTTTCCTTGAGATGATTCCTTTAAGTAAGTAAAATTCACATCAACACTTAAATCAGCATTTCCTGGAGAACTTAATGAATGAACAAATTTATGATCTTTAATAGCCTACGTTCCCGCCAAAAAAAAAATATAATAATTAACAAATTTGCAACTTTTTAAATAGAAATCGCAGTTATTATTAATAAACTTTTACCTACTCTTAATGTATCATTTTGTATAAAATCTTGACCATAATCAATGATTAAGGCGGCACCACCAAATTTTGAAATTTGATTTGAAATTTTTTGTATCATATTCCAAGAATCTGGCGATATCTCTATACGATCTCCAATATTAAATTTCTTGTATTGTGATGATGATGTTAATGATATAGATTCTTTTGTAGGTTGTGGTGAGAGGATTAAACGGAAATGATAAGAACTATGAAATATTGATGGGAAAGGTAAATTTATGTGTAAAGGGGCAAGTTTAAAAATATTAAAAAATAACCTGTCTATTGAAGTATCTATATCGACCATATATTCTCTCCATCCATTATCTGTAAGCTAAATTTAAAAAAAAATTTAATAAAAAAAAAATTATTAAAATTTTTTGTAAATCATTACATTACCTCGAATCTATGAATAGGTAAAGCATCAAAAAATTCATGAGCAACAATAAAGGAACATTCAGCTAAATCACGTTCCTATTATAAGTACTTTTTCTTTTTCATCATCATCCATCCCACAAAATAAAAATGATCATGTTCTTACCCGGAATTTCATCAAGATTATTATGCCAATAAAATTTCATACCATCATTATCACGCTTAAACATTTCCGGCATACTTTCAGTCTTTTCAAATTGATTTTCGCAGAGTTTTTTTAATTGTAAATTTCTTAATTCAGGACTTATTTCAATTAAATGTACTCCATTTAATGTATTAAAAAAATTTGGAAAATTTGACATTGCCTATTATCATTTTTTTTTTTTTTTTTTAAAAAAAAAAAAAATAATAATAATTATGTTAATTAAAATTTTTAATTCATTCACAAAGTTATCGGATTCATTCGCTTGCTTACACGAAGCATATCATCCATTAATGTCCCTCTCCCTGGTCCTAATTCAATTATTTGTGATTTTTGTGATTTTCCTTGAATTTCCCATTGTGATATTATCCATAAACCAATCAACTACAAAAACATAATGAAATAAATAAATAAAATTAAAATAAAAAAATAAAATTAATCTTAATTTATTAATTAACTGATTTACCTCACCAAACATTTGACTAATTTCAGGCGAAGTAATAAAATCACCTTTTACACCAAATACATCACCTTTCATATAATATCCACTGTTTGGATTTGTTAATACCTGTTTCATATATGCAGCAATTGATATTGGTCCTTTTTCCTACAATAAGATTGATAACATTTTAATAATAAATTAATGATAAATTTTTCTTAAACTTTATCCTTAGATACGAAGAAAAAAATAAGGCTAATATATAATATATAAATTGTATATCTTTTTATTAAATGAAATGATAAATAGGTACAGATATTATATTCTTTAATTGTTGAGCAAGTGGTGTAAGTGCTTCTTTTCGTGTCGTTGAATAGAAACATTTCGTAAGATAAGGGATTTTTTTAAAATGGCTTTTTAAAGTAGTGAACATTTCAAAAACAAAAAAAATCATTGATCGGAGGGGTTAATCTCATTGTATAAGCATGATTTTATAGATCGTTGTACAAAAAAATTGCTTTAAAGAAAATCCAAACAAAAAATCCTCAAATATTATATTACGCTAAATACAAATATTTATCTAAAAAAAAAAAATTATTTTTTCCCACAAAAAGCTCAATTATCTCTTTTTATAATGCATTTTTCATAAAAATGGATGATCTAAATAAATGTAATAGACATTATATGTTAGATTGTAAAGGAAATAAATACCTAAAAGAATTATACTTACACTAAGTGGACACAATTTATTAACTTCTGTATTAAGATGAACTGATAAGTACCCACTTCGCCTAGAAAAAAAATTTTTTAATTATATCATCTTAATTTTGATTTGATTTCGTTTTATTATAAAATTTACCAAGAAATATAAATCCAAAGTAAATTCGGATCTTGATCATGTGGTTCAATAGCGACAACTTCTTTAATATAAGGATCCCAATTTTCATCAATACTTTTCATATTCTTACTTTCTTTTTCATTAATAAGGTTATAACTTTTTGGTTTTCTTGGTCCGAGTTTAACTTTGGGAAACTCAAGTCTCGAGTTTATGTTGGAATCTTGAATTGGATCATGTTTTTGCTCGAATTGCTGTGCCATAAATGGTACTTCTTCATTCACTTCGTCTATTTCCATGATATCTTTATAGGTTGCATCATCGTGTTTCTCACTTTTATTAACCTCGGACGTGTAAGAATGATTATTTTTATTGACCACTCCATTTCGAGACGATTTCTTTTCAAAGTTTAAGAATTTCGACGCGTTTTCTTTTTTGTATTTGACAAGAGATTGCGAAGTTGATTCGGCAGAAGCAATATTAGTGATTCCATTCGTGTGAGATTTATGAGAGGTCGTGCGATATGATGGTTTCTTGACGGATAATAGGCTTCTTTTAACTTGACCATTTGATTTCTTGTTAACAGAAGCTTTAGAAAGAAAGGATGACGTGCAGTCATTAAATTTAGTAGACGATGAAGAACTTGCAATCGGTTTACCGCCTCTTTTACGCCAGTAAGTTTTCAAAAGTTCCGTCGCATAACTAAAAACAAAAAATGAATAAAATAAACCTCTTAATAACGTGAAAATGCCTTTAAGTTCTTCTTATACTTGCACATTCTTTTCATCTTCCCATGTATTTTCAGAATCCGGATAGTCCTTCCACTTCAAGAAATATTGATACCCCCCCTAAATATTAACAAAAAATAAAAAAAAATATAGTTCTCGACTCGTTATATTATTATCAATAGATTTATTTTTTTTATAATTACATCTGGTTTATCCCTATGAGAAATAATTTTTTCAACAAAGTATTCATTTTCATCATAATTCTCATCTTCGCTAGAGGTAGTATGATTTTCGCTAAGAGAGGATGTTTCACTTGGAGAACCTGGAAGCGTGAAACGAATCTTCTTTCGAACAATCGGATCTCCATAAGGAATTGGATATTGGCCCTTAACAATTGGTACTCTGGGAGTGGCCATGAATTTGATATTGAAGAGATAATAGTAAAATAATAATAAGAATAAGAATAAGAGAGAATTGAATGAAATTTATATCATTTCTTATTTCTTCCAAGTATTAATCTCTTAATTTAGCTGTTGTTAAACCAATATAATGAGCTATTGAAGGCACATTTTATTTACATTATCGATAAGTAATTATATGATGGCATAATTACATAAAATAAAAGTTTAAATAACAAGTATCACGTAATAATTTATAAAAAAAATAATATTTTTTATGAGATTATTCGCTTCACTGTTGTATCCATAGCATAGGATACCTATTTGATATAAACAAGTTAAATCACAAACACCAATCTTTCAAGCTATTGAAGTCTTCCGTACATTATCTACAACGACAATGTATCCATTTCCGATATATGAAAATGCTTCTTTTCATAATAAAAAAAAAACTGTTTATTAAACAAGTTGTAAACGAGGTCCACGGATAGTAATCCAAATATTCTGGCATTCCCAGTATATTTATTATGGATTGCAATTTTCCTGTTCAACATAAATTTATTTATCGTAAAATGAGATCCTTGTGCTTGTTTTATTGTTTTATTGAAGTTTATTTCGCGTAGATCCAATTTTTTCCTATGGTAAATTGTAAGTTCCAATAGTTCGCTTAATTCCTTTGGTTTGAATAAATTTTTCTAATCTTTACAGGAGCTACTACACCTGATTCACATGATTATAGTTTTGATTGGTCAATATATATGAACTAAGGTTAACAGTTAAGATTTTCACTGAACAATCATGACGCAAGCAATTGGTTTAAATAAAAGCAACTTTAATTTTAATGTTAAATATAAATAGTTAATTTAACCGATTTGGTTTATCGAAATGACTTTCTAAAGTTCTCTTTCGCTTTATTTCGTATCTTTTTTTTTTTTGGTAAAATTTATTCCATTCTTTGAAATTATTTATTTATTTTGTTATTATATTCCAAAGCGTTTTTTCTTTTGTTTAAAGGTTACTAAATAAAGACCCCATGAATTGATAAAACTAAATTATTACTTTTATTTAATTTAAGATTAATTTAAAAGAATGGGAGTATTTAAAACAACTACAAGAACAGCAGTGACAGAATGGATAGGTAATTTTTTTATTACTTTGATTAAAATTAAAATCTTTTTTGAAATATGTTAACAATAAAACTCATTTAGAACGCATGACGTCAGAAAGATATAAGGATGATGATTTCAATGATATGTTTGAATTATGTGAGGTTATCAATATACAATCTACAGGGTTCGTTTATTATAAATTCTTTAATTTAATTAATTTTTTTAATCTTTGATTTTAATCTTTATTTTGGGATGTTGAATTGAATTATGTAGACCTAAAGAAGCAAGTAAAGCGTTAAAACGTGCTTTAAAATATGGAAATATACATTCACAAGTTCGAGCAATAACAGTAATAATATATTATTTATATATTTTATATATTGATTGTATTTATGCTTTTACGATTTATAATTTCTTTATAAATTTATAGGTTTTAAAATCTTTGACTGAAAATTGTGGTGATAAATTCCTTGGTTTGTTATTACAATTTTTCTGGATTTAAGGAAAAAACCTTATTAAAAAATTAGAAAAATTATAATTTCGATTTTAATTTTAGCTCAAATTTCTACGCATAAATTTACCGATAGGCTTAGAAGTATGGCACTATCTCCGGTACTTTAATATTTTTTTTTTATATTCTATATATTATATTTCTGATTTCAAAGAATTAATAGTAATGATGAATTTTCTTTCACTTATTACTAATAGTATACTGATTCTAAAGTTCAAAAAAAATTGTTATCATTATTTGCAGACTGGTCAACAGAATTTAAAAATAGATCAGGATATGATGCATTAGCAAATCTACATAATAGTGTAACTTATAGGAGTAATATTAATAATATTGGGCTTGCAAGTAATACAAGAAGGGGACCTGTATCAAAATCAAATGATTCGTCATCATCCTTCAGTGCTAATAAGGAAAAGAGTAAAAGTGAATCATCTGGTGGTAAATCTAAAAAAGAACAGCAGTCTGAAAGGAAACTTGTAACATATTCTTCAGAAAAGGTCAATGTTGTTTCTCATGTTCTATTAATATTTATATTTTATTTGTTTATTTTTAATTGTTCTAATTTTTTTTTTTTTTTTTTTTAGATTAATGAAGCTATAGGGTTGGCAACACAAAATGCTACAAACCTCATTAATGCTCTTACTTTATTAAGCCCCGGATCTGATTTAGAAAAAGATTATGAATTACAAGTAAGAAACTTTATATTTTTTTTAAAAAAAATTTAAAAATTATTCATTTACATATTCATTTTTCATGTTACAGGAAATATTCCGCAAGTGTAAATCATCATCTGAAATATTAATTAAAATAATTCCAACTGTAACAGATGGAAATCAACTTGGTTTTTTTTTTTTTTTTTTTTAAAAAAAAATATAATTGTTTGTTAAATAATATAATTAATAATAATATATGATTTTTGTTTGGTTATAGGACCGCTTTTACAATCAAATGATCAAGTGCAAGGATCTTTATCGATATATTCAGAATATTGTAAAAACGATAATGAAGTAAATAGTATTACTTCTGGTGTCAAAAGTATTAAATTACAAAATCAAAAAGAAAATGATGTATATCAAGCTGAAGGAAATCTTATCGATTTCGATTCATTTCCTTCAAAGTAAGTTTTCTTATTTTTTTTCTAAAAAAAAAAAGTCACTATTTAATAATCTAGTTGGAATAAACAAATAAATTAATATATATAAGTTGTTTATTTAGTACAAATTCAAGTTATTCAATCGATAATAATAATAACTCAGCATATGCAGACCCATTTGCAGATCCATTTGCAGACCCAGAAACACCTTCCAAATCACCTGAATCTGAAACTGTTGTTAATGGACCAAAAAGAAGATTAGGATGGTAAGTATTGATATTATGTATTTTACATAATCATCTTTTTTTAATAATTGATTAATTAATTAATTTTTTAAATAGGACTGAAGTTTAATCATTATTCGTTAATTTACTCTATGATAAGAGTTTTACTTTACTTCAATTTTATTCTTTTAAATCATCACATTTCATAGTTATACTTATATTTGATTTGTAAATTAGTTTTTTTTATTTGAGGTGATATTACTTGTGTTGTTGTGTATATTAGTTTTTCTTCTGATGTTATTCTTTTTCAGAGGTAGATTGAAAGGTACAGTACGAGATGAAATCAATTCAGGTTTAAATTTATCAGTAAGAGCAGATAACTTGCGCGAAACTTCAAAGATCCGATCAACATAAGAAAGATCGACCACGTGATTTCGATTTTTGAATTCATTTATTCATTTATATTGTAATATTCATAAATTATGATGATGTATTTTTTCCAAGCTCGAAATTATAAATTGAGAGCGCAAATTTTATATAATTAAGAGACATACATATCTTGGTCAGTATCAACAGCTTGAAAAGTACTTGTGCCATTACTTTTTTGCTATACAATTGTGACAAAATATATGAAAACAAATCCAGGAGCCTCATAAATCTTTTTGTTTGTTCAAGGACTACAAATAGTGCTGGTAGAACTCACTCCATTAATGTCATTATCATGTTTTTTCATGTTTATTCCAACATTAATCCCCAACTTTCCAAGAAATATCTGCAAATCGGTTCGGTTCTACATTGAAAGAATTATTATGTTTGTCGTCTTCTGCTAAAGATTCCGCGTTAATAAAATGCCTGAATTAACTCCATCTATTAAGCCCGATTTGATTGGCGCAACGCGTTCTTTGGTGATACAAAATTATGACTATCAATCAAATGACCAATTTTATTAAAAAAAACTCTCTTCACATTATAAAAAAATAAAAATGCCTCCTAGGAATAGGAAACCTTCCAACCAACGTGGCCATTCAAAGTCACCGATAGCTGAGAGATCTTTGATCAAAAAAGCTAGACAAGACAACAACAATAATGAAATTACAGAAAATGAATAACAAATGTTCTCCCAAAATAATATTCCACTACCAGTGCCTATGAAAACTGAAACCATTGATTCTGTCGCTAACTCTCCTAACGACAAAGAAAAAATTCAGAAACAACCCTTTCACCTGTATCAACTAATACTTTTGATGAAGACCAAGCTTTTGACATTTCTGAAAACATGTTCAGAAATAAAAACAACCAAACAAACGTCCTTTCCTTTAAACAAGAAAATGATGTTTCGACCTTCTACACATATTATGCAGCGGATAAATTTTTTCCGCTAAATCCAACAATGAAAAAATAAATAAAGCTTATGCTCTGTTCAACAGATCGCAGTTCCCTGCTTTTATTAGTACCTTAATCAAAAATTACCCCAACAACAACACAAAAAAAATTGTTTAAATTGGTTTTACTTCTTGTGTTGATTATGAAAATGCAAGTAATGTGCATATACCTTTTTTGGACAATGACACGTTCTAACCCCTTGTGGTTCAACCCATTGCATACGTTTGACTTGTTGATCAAAGTTACAAAGATCCTGATCTCTACTACTGAAGCTAACATTAGATCCTCTTTTTCCTTTTTTGGAAAATTACACAATGTTCAATAATCACCAAAAATCTGTGGTAACAAGCCACTATCACTTTTGATGTCACAACAAATATAACTTGATTTAAATAATATTATGGATATTTTGTCTTTAAGGATATGGTTCGAATCAACTTATGCTTTTTCCTCAATGATGAAGTCAGAGCTAAATCAAATTTTTCTTTGAAATTAACTAATCTACTAATTGATACAAATGGTTGTCATCTTATTCCAATTGGAAAAGCCATCAACATTATAATATACTACACCTACTTTCAAACAAAAAACTCAACCAACATTCTATTTAATATCAGTAGATCAAATAAGATGAATATATGTAAAAATAATCAGTTATAAATGATTTCGTTAATCTCCACCTCATCCAAAAATCTGCGAGTATAAAAAAAATAAGAATTTAAACTTTTTTTGATTAAGTTTCGAATTTTACTTATTTACGAAAATTTGAACGAGTAAATATATATGGGGTTTTTTATTACTAATAACCATAATACTCTTCACAACTTAATATTTCCATTTTCAAATAATTATATGATACAAGCAAGATCAGGTATATATATTAAATTTCAACGATCACATAAATATATTTACATATTTGCGTAAGTTATATGATCATTTCTACTGTATTGTTATTGCTGCAGTTATTTGTGTTTTGTATGATTGTTATTTTCTAGTTTCAAATGTATTTTTTTCGATAATATTGATAATATTAGTATATAAATATTATTGAAAAAGAAAAGTAAAAATAAAAGAATCATTTTAAAATTATATATAATTACCTTTTAGTATTATAATTATTCAAATAATCTAGCATCTTCAGATTCAGAGTCAGGTTCATCTAAAATCTCTTTGACGGTATAATTATAATTCTTTAATATTACATCATCTTTCAAGTTATCATTGATATCCGCGATATCATCCTCCATTGGAATTAGTTGCATGTTTAAACGTTCCTATCAATAAAACTCGATTAAAGACATAATCGACACAAATAATAAATTTAATATATACTAAGAAAATTGAACATCATTTCTTGATTTCTTTCTCGATATATCAGATATTCTTGCTTTGTGGATTTAAGACAATACTACAAACTGCAAGGGCAAATGCTATTATTGAAGGTTTAAGACAGACTTCTTTATCTTCTTTAGGCATAGCCTTCATGATAATCGTATTGATTGTTAAAAAGTCAGTATCATCAGACTTCCACAATTTAGTATATGCTTCGGCAACTCTTGGATTTCTTTTTCATTCAGCAATTTTTATACCTGCATTTGCCTTTATTTCAGGAATTTCTGAAAATACTTTAAAAAATACTAACCAAATATCTTTGGCTATAGCACTTCAATGGTAATGCATTTTTTTGAGACACTAATACAAAGCCAATATGAAAACATCAATAGATAATGAATATTAGTAAAGAAATGACATAATAGTTAGATTGCTTACAATAGCCATAAATTCTGAATAAAATGAGAATCCCAACGATATTTTCTAATATTTTTAATATATCCTTTGGAATGCTTTTCAACATAACTTTCAAGATGTTCTTTAAATAATTCCACAGTAGGAAGTAAAGTTATCTTTTGAATCTCTTTAATAATAGCGACGATACCTTTCTATTATTTAAACAATCATACAATATATCAGTATATTAAACAACGTAAAATCATTTTCGAAATGTATTATTTACATCAAAAAAGGTGGACGATAAACTATCTTCACGCTATAACTTTGAGAGAACCTTCATAATTTCATCAATTTTTTTATTATGCTTTAGTTGATTTTTTCAGATAACTCTGTTCTGTCTGTTTAATTTCTCTAAAAAATCCACAGAAACTGAACAATATTTATTACGATCTCCTATATTAATAATAAAAAATAATACTACTATTAAAGAATATACAATTTATATTTTGAACTTATATGATATACCAGTTACAAGTTTTTTATCTGTTCGCATTGACACAATATCGTTAGCACTTCAATTGCATTTTTTTGAAGTCTCTGGATTAGAAACTAAATGGTCCTGTAGAATGTATTGTTGCTTATCATATTCAATTTCAATATTTTTGGAAGTGTCAAAATCATCATTTTCATTTCTAGATTGAAATTGGTCATACAATTTCAAAGAATAGTTATCATTATCGTTCTCTATATTAATATCGTAATCATGATCCTATTTACTTTGATATACGTTCAGATTAAAATAAGATACAGTTGTATTTCTCTTTTTATGATTTTGAAGAGAATCTGCCATCAACAAATTTTTAGAAAGATCTATGAAATGATAAAGTGATATCAAATTGATTTCATAAGTATCAATAAAAGTAATATAGTTAATGATACCTTTATTGGACTCCTTAAACAAAGCTTTAATCATAGATGGCTGTGGTGACTGATTTGATAAAAAATTTTTATAAGAAACAGGTGGCTGCGGTGATGAATTTGAAGAATTTTATGAGAAACAGATGATTGTAGTGACTAATTTGTTGGAGAATTTTTACGAGAAACAGGTAGTTGTTTTGTTGTAAAAATTCTAGAAGAAGCACGTGTTCTTCTAATATTTGAAGCTTTAGTTATTTTAAAAATTATTTAATATATATATATAAATTGGTTGATTAAAGCATCAAAACAATATAAATTTACAACTTTTTCCTCTAGATTTTATTAGCGATGTTATCTTATTAACTATATTATTTTTTATATTTAAAATTACAAGAATTTTAATAAAGCTGAAGAATTTTACGAAACTTAAAATTT